AGATCCTTTCATCCTCGGATTGGACTAAGGAAATAGAATTTTTCCTTGGACTTTAAAAATAACGAACTGCATTCTGCCAGTGAGGACATAACCCTATTCGCAATTATTGACGAAAAAGTTAAATCTGGCCATCAAATCATAGCTCAAAACGCTACCATAGTACCAGCAAGAAAAGAATTTCTACTTCATGGATCCATAGCCGAGAACAGAGATTTCCACTTTGGTGTATTGGAATATCCAGAGAACTGTAACAGCCCGAAAGGTGTAGCAGTAGCCTCAGCATTCGTCGACCTAATCGAGAACCGTTATCCCGGTGAGAGTTGCCAATGTAAAACTGACAAGGCAAGAGTTATTAAGAAATGTGAAGTAGTTGCAGCATGTACTCTAGTTCCCAGTATTAAACGAAACAATAACACCCCAGAACGTGTCTTCAGAAATTATTACATCAAAGTTATTGCAGAATGCACAACTAAACAATGAAGAGGTGAATACTGCCGAACGTGTCATTCAAGATCTTCAAGATGTTTTCTCCCGCTCATCTTCTAGAAACCTAAATTTTTCATCTCCTTCTTAAAAAGACAGAAGATTTATGGTAAATAGATATCTCCTTCACATTTAATTCCAGTTTAAGAGTACTTTAAATTAATACGCAAGAAATCTTCACCTGTAGCTTACCGTTAGAAAGTCCTCCACGAAGACATCCCTTCTGATAGGTAGATAACTCTCGAATACTTTGTCATAAATAAACCAAATCAATTTATAGCTTATCGACGGCAAAGTAAATAAGACAAGCGGATGCAGGTAGTTAGGGTGAAACGGGTGGCCTGCAATACCTGTATGTAGTTTTATTTCTCTTTCACAACAAGTAGTTAAATATTTAGAATCGCTGAATGCTGGCAGTTTTAACAGGAGTTAGATTCTTGACCTGACGATATGGGTGTATGAGAAATTTTGTGGTTTCCCTGCATATAATGTAAATACGTAGCAGATTTTTCTAGAAAACCTCCACGAAGGTTTTGTTTCGTGTCCTTTGGTTAAATATTTACCTGAATTGATCTTGATCCATCTCACATGTAGATACATGCCAGGTTCCTTTAAAGAAGTCATACGTAAATATCCTCTTGAAGCAAATAGCTGTTGAATTCTTTGTCAAAATGAATTACTTATTTTTACCTTTACTGCAGTATAGAACAAATGTAAAGGAAAGAAGCAATTGTTAGAGCAAATCCCCTCTTGCATCTCTTGCATAACAGTAAAAATTTCGTTTCTCTGGCTCTAAAGATCTTTAGTGTGCTTTTATGAAGACAGGGCGATGTAGGATAAAACGCGCTGCCAGTATGAATATAACGTAAAAGAAGTTTGCCTGTAGGACTCGAGTTGACATCTTAGCATGATAGTAAGTTACGTTTGAAAGGTCATAAGGAACTATTTCTTATAGAATTAGTTTTTACCATGTTAGATGATTTAAATATGTCTTTCCAAATAACCAACTTATTCGGAGTATTTTAAAATTATATTATCTATAAGGCCTTTCGAAATCTCGAAGTTCTTTATTCCAGAGCAGTAATTTGCATTTTGGTTTTCGAGTACTTATTGAATGCCTTAATATTTCCTCTACATTCTGAACTAAAACTACGATACATATCGCCTTCTCACTATTTTTCTTTCTGAATAGAGGCATTTTGTTACCGATAGGGTTAGAAGTAGAACCACGCTTCAGTGTTCAAATTTCTAACATTCAATGTCCATTACGATACAATAATTCTAATGATTTGCTACTTAGCTTTATTTTTTGAATAACTTTAGTTTCTTTGTAATTTAAGAGCTGAGTATCGGGACGGTCTTAAAAGAAAATTAGCTTTGTTTATTTCGAAAGGGTGAAACAATTACTGTTGTGAACTATTAGCGTATGACAAAATTGTTTACGGAAAATACAAAAAAAAAGGAGGAAGAAAACTGCCAGCAGATGGAGCTACAGCTGGGTTTGGTTTGGTTTATTTAATCAAGGCAAAGTTCTCGAAGGCTATCTTCCTAAAAGAAAGGATGCCTTCCTGTAAGTCTTTTTAAGGAATACTTGCTCATATACATGTTACACATGGAGAAAAAAAGGAAAAACGCCCATGCAGCCCGTACACTGGACCAAACTACTAGTGTTCAGCGACTTTACCGCCCGGCCGCCCATAGCATTTGGGAGTTGCCTGTATTCACAGCATTATGTAAATTAATTGTACGTAATGCGGAATATATAACCTTGTGCGATCAAAAAATTCCCTAACTGACTTTTTCACGCGAATTTGAACTCAGTACCATTGTTTGAGTTCTGTCGTAAATACAGTTTGTCCATAATTTATTCATCGGATGAAGATTTGTTTTAAATAATAAGTAATAAATAATAAGTAATTTAAATAATAAGTAAGGGCTAGGGGAAAAAGACTGATTTGAATTTTATATTAATACACTTCAACATGAGCATCATTAGTTGCTTGGAGAATATCAAGTCTGTTCTAGATTTCCCTCCCGACCTTATTAAGCATTTGCCTAGTCACAGTACTTGTTTCTGCCGTGATTCGTTGTTTTAATTCTTCGATGCTGAGAATCTCTCTGGTTGCATGGGCGTTTTCGTGTTTTTCCCCATGTGTAACGTAGATATACATGCTTCCCTTAAAAAGCCTCTGTGAGCTAGCTTCCCTTAAAAAAGCCTCTGTGGGGCATCCCTCCATTTCAGTTATATAGTATCTATTGGCGGAGAGAGTAATAAAAAATATATATTTTCCTCCTTTATAGTAAAACACTGCTCCGCATTTTTATCCTTCGAGACCCCTTGAAATAATATTCATGTCATAAGTCACCCACATATTTAGTTATTATATATATATATGTTTATATGTGTCTCTGTCTTTTGTAAAATTCATAAGGAAAACGGAATGTATTTCATAATCTGGGCAAGGAACTAAGTATTTTTACTCCGAATGGTAGCCGGACGTACTATCAATTTTGTTACGGAGGTACGCAATAAGGGAAAAGAAAATTCCATATGAACTTGATAAATAAAATTTAAAACTAAAAGAAATAAAGGCAGTGAAAGGAAATATATCAGATAGAAAAAGAGACAGTAAAAACAAAAAATTCCTGTAAACAAAAATAATCGTAACACATAATTTCTTTAATCTCATGTATAACCAGATATTCCTAAATGGTAAGCAAAATGTACGAAATTAGAAAGGTGAACGAGGAAGTGTGCTTGTAATCCAGGTGTCGCGCGCATTGCCCAGTTATGAAGTACTGTGAAGGTTTAATTCGCATACTCGAGCAATGTGCCTTTGTATTCAAATTTCTCAGTGATACCTGAATTCATCTTCTAGAACTGTTATTACATTGATCATTAAAGGCGGTTTCACACTAGTGCCATGATGGCATTGCTAAATATACTTCGTCGAATCATCATACTGGTAAATAATTTAATAGGACTTTATAATTACGCAAAATTTTACCAAGAACAGGCCATACGTGCATAATAAAATTGCGAATTTTATATTAAACCCACAAATGTCTTAAAATACTCTTATATAGCGTGTGATTATTCATCACTATATATTGCAGAACACAGATAGCGCCGGTTGAGAAATGCTGTATTTTTTCTGCAAATCATGCATACAATCCGAAATAAGTTAAAACGATGAAAAATTATTTTATTACAATGCAAGAACTTATAGCATCCTCACATGCGTGTTCTGGATGTGTAACTGGTTAGCAAAACTAACATTGGAAGATCTATGTTTCGAATCCCGATGAAAGCATAGATGCTTTATCATATTTCTCACTCCGGTAATCTTAAATATATTTGCAAATACAACAGTGAATATTTTAAAATCATGTAAAGAATTTAACTTCATTTTTTCATTATGGTACTTATTACGTATTCAAAGAAGTATTTTACTTAAAATCTGTATAGAATTAGCACTAGGTCTGAAAATTGAATTGGTCAGTTTTAATCGCACCTTTGTTTTTCTCTCTTATGAGTCACTCTTAATGAGGTGATTGATATAATCAAATAAAGAACTTCCTGTAGCAGGTAGACTTCCGATTTATTATTTTTGCTGTAAAATCTCAGTCATATGAAACACGTGATTAAATAAATTTTAATTGTCGTGCAGGATAACTTACAAGTTGTAAAATCGTGGTTTAAGAATTACAGTAAGGTTTGCAAACAATAATTATCTGATGTATTTTGATTATTTCCTGACAAAATCTGAAGTTTTTGTTATAAAAATGAGATTTGTGAATTATCCCTGGGTATTACCCCCAATTTACGGATTTAGCCTTATCCATTTATTTTGATAGCTTACGTCGCTACGTTAAGTCTAAATAACCTGAATGTTTTCCGATAATTTACGTGTGCTTGGAATAAATAAATAAAAAGGCGACATTTCTAAAAGCCACGTTAAGTTAAATACGACTACAGTACAGGACAATGTCCGAAGTCCCTCGAGTGTCTCGTGATTTTAGAGCTTAACACTTGTTGGTCATGCAAATGACGTTCCCATTAAGTGTTTTATTCGTTTTACTTTCTGGCAAAGGTAATTCAAAACATAAAAATTATAAACCGTAATTCTGGGCAACGAAAGGCGGATTCGAACATTATGTATTCGGTGTTGCGTGTTTCGTTACTTTACAGACGAGGATTGCATACTAAAGCATTTCCCGGACTGTCTTCCACCCCACACTCACTATTGATATGTGTTCAATGAAAAAATAAGGTGCGTTTACAGAATCGTTTTTCATGTTAGGATATTTGTGTGTTGAAAAAGAAATGTTGATTAAGAGGTTCTTTGCCGTTTCTTGCTTTTTAATGAGGGTTTTTTTCCCCTCCTGCTCTGCAAATCGTTAGTGCTTTCTCTGCTCAGAATACTGAATTTTTCGTACATTTTCTTTCTGAGTTTCTTGAAATACTCTTTTTGTTCTCGCACCACTTTTTTTAAAAATATTCTATGTATTTGCAGGTATGGATTTTTAAAAGAAGTGATGGTAAAGTACAAAGTAAGTTCTTTTTTTTATTTCATTTTTACTTAATAAATGCTTTCAGTTCATAATTAAAAGTCAGTTATGTTCTACATATTTTCATATATCGGCAATTATATTTTGCAACTTACTAAAATTGCTTCTTTGGAAAGAGACGCGCATTAAGCGCCTTTTCAAGCAACCATGTGCATAGGTATCTATTTATATACATTATTGGAGAAACCAAAAACTCAGAAAGAATTAGTTGGATTATTTAATTATAAGCAAAAGACTCTAGTGCCAGCTGTCTTAAGGGAAAGGATGCCTTCCTGGAAGACTTTCTAAGAAAAACCGCATGAGGGAAAAGACGAAAACGCCCATACAGTCGTTTAGTGTGGAACTTAGCCAGGTCGAGCGACCCGTTCGACTGCTGGCAGGCTAGAGTGGATTCGATGCGTTATAATCAGTTAGCATTATTTAATGAAATGAACATTTCTCACTTTATGCGCGAATTAATGCAATTTTTCCTATGATATGGGAAATTTTTAGTCGCCTATCTGCAGAAAGAAGTTTATTTTGAATCCGGCAAATTGCCTTTTGAATACAGTTAATTTTCTTAACCTTTTGCATTTAGTAATATTTCGTATATTTTCGTTACCTTTAATGATATTTTGAACATTTAGTTTGAGTATAATTATTTTTTTAATCTTTGAATTTGAGATTAACTTCTTTTAAACATTTAATAATATTTCCTGTATTTAATTGGTATCTAATTATCTCTATTCATTCGTTTTTCTTAATTTTTACTTTAATGTTTAATGTTACTGTTTTCCCTAGTTTTAAGTTTACTTAACGCTATACATACTTGTATTTCAATACAATGTTATGTATTCTGACTCTAGAAAAAGTTACGGAAAGATTGCATAAAGATGTGCATAATTTCGTCTGTTCTAAGTTCTGCAATTGTCGAGATGCTGATGACGTTTCTTTTAATAATAGAGGGAGATGGGAAAAGTTTCTAATATAGAGTATTACTAAATGCTGATTCCACCATTTTTTCAAACGAAAACAGCAACTTTCTAAGATGATTTTACCACAGAACTGAAACCATTTCGTTACATTGATAATTTCGTAAATTTTGAATCAGATCAAACAAATGCTTTAAAATATAAAAATAAATGCTTTAAAAGAATTATGAGATTTTTTTCAATTGATTTCTTCCCTATGTATGTTGATGTATTTCTGAGAATGATCTCAATTTTTATCATCCTCAAAGGCTTATCATTCATTTACATTAATTTATACATGCTAATGCTGTCTATTAGCGACCAAACGTATAGTGGCTGAACACTGGTACTTTGGTCCAGGGTTCAAATTGCAGCCGAACGGGCGGGTTACTGGCGTTTTCGTGGTTTTTTCCATGTGTAACGTGTATACGAGCTACTTTCCCTTAGAAAGTCTTCCGCGAAAGCATCTCTCGTGTGCTTTGCCGTATTCAACCAAACCAAACCATACTAATATTTTTCAAACTGATGTCAGGTTCTAAATTATTGATACCTTCTAAGAAATTGGCATGAGCAGCATATGTCTTGAATTATAGGACACAATTTTTATACCACGAATACCTTTTTTTATATCAAAATGCACCATATTTTCACAGAAAAGTGGTATTTTTCCATAGTTAGTGACAAATGCTGCATATTTACATCATTTTTGTGGATTTTGAGACGCTCAAAAATTTGAGACAAAATTTTCTTTAATTTTAATTAAAAAGGCTGTAAAAGACTTCAAAAAATTACTAAAAGGGATTAAAAATAGTAATAAAAGCAAGCATTTTTTAGACTTTGTCACACATCCTAATTTGAAAAAAAAAAATCAAATGCGACCAAAAAACAGTGATTTTTTATTTAAAATGATATAAAATACAGAGGCCTTGGAGTTTGGGCTCCTGGATTTTTATAAAATCTTGCTTTATTTCCAAGCGAAATTTAATTAAAGTATAAAAATTAAGAAAAACAGTGATTTTCTTACAGGGTTGACACACCGTAATTTGAAAAAAAAATCGAATGAGACAAAAAAAAAAAAAAAAGTGTCGGTGACGCATCGACACTGAAATTCAGGTCCCTCGGAGCTTAGAGTCCTGAAATTTTATTATTATATATAAAATTTATAATCGCCTAGAATAAAGATTGATTTTTAAGAAAATTATAAGTATAAGAAATGAAATGTCTTCAATTGTTTAAAATCTTTCAAAAAAATCAAGTTGTTTCAGGGAAATGTTTCCCCCTGAAAATGTATCATTATATATAAAATTAAATATATTATTTGCAATAATTACATCTTTTTTATCAAACACAGGAATCCAGTTTCTTAAATTTAAATCATATCTGTTCTAAATCTTTTAGCATGCACTGCAATCTTTCGTAGAATTCAGGTACTCTTTATGGGGTGAGAATTTAATATCTTTATAAAATGAGATTTGACTATTAATATCATTATACATATTATAGAATCAATACATGATTATCATCTGCTAACCTAAAATCAAGCCATCATAACCAATTTTTAATTCAAAATGAATCATCTAGATTAAAATTAAAAATTATGCGTTACATTATAAATTACTTACGTTGCCTTACCCCTGGAAGGATTAGAATATTATCAAATAATATTAAATTTTATATAATAATAAAATTCTATGACCCTACACTCTGAGAGCCCTAGATTTTAGTAAAGATTTTCTTAAAATCCAGGGCTAACAACTAATCTAAACTCCAAGGGCCAACAACGTATTTTATATAATTTTTTAATCTCTTTTGTCTCATTTGGTTTTTTTTTTCAAATTAGGATGTGTGAAAAAATTTTTAAAAACACTTGTTTTTATTACTATTTTTATTCCTTTAATCAATTTTTTATTCTTTATAGCCTTTTTTATAAAAATTTTAAAAAAATTTTGTCTCAAATTTTTAACGTCTCAAAATTTATAAAAAGGATGTAAATATGCAGCATTTGTCACTAACTATGGAAGAACATCATGCTTCTGTGAAAATATAGGTCAGTGGGTGCATTTTGATATAAAAAAGGTGTGTCCTGATATTAAAAAAGATGTGTCCTATAGTTCAAGACATATGTTGCTGGCATGAAAATTTTTATTTATTTTTTAACTTTAAAAATAAGGAACTTAATTTCAACTGCATTTTTCTATTTCTGTAAGGAATTAAAGATTATATGTAAACTTTCTTTTCATTTAGATCTTTGAACCTTTTCTCTAGGTGCATGCAGCCAAAATTCTTCGCGCAACAGAGGATTTATATGCTTGGTTACCTTTGGCTACTATAATAGATAACAAGGTTTTCGTCGTTCATGGTGGAGTGTCAGATACTACAAATTTAAAAGATATTGCTGCTATTGACCGGCACAAGGTGAGAAAAATGGTGAACCAGAAAAATCTTTTTAATTGTTTAATTAATATTTATCAATTATTAAAAGATTCCTTAAAAAACAGTATACCGAAAGTCTATGTCAAAAAAATAAAGGTGTAAGAGAGGTAATTCAAATACTAAATTCATACACTCAAGAAAATTTTAAAAATAATTTTTACGAAATAAAAGCAAATCTGATTATTAGTTTTCAAATAAATGCAGATATTACAAATGCCGCTTTGATTTTTTTAAATTTATATACTTCAGTAAATTAATGTCTATTTTATCACTTTAAGATTTGAATCTGAAGCATATAAAAAGATTAAAATAGAGAACTGTTTACTCGCAACCCTATACCGTACTTAAGAGAAGAGTTGCTGTAGCAACATTCAAATTCGGTCGGTAAATCAGAGGATAAACTGGGTAACATATTTGCAAATTATTATTTTATACTCAGAGTTCTATTTTTCTCTGTCCTGTTTTCAGTTCTTTTTAAAACTATTTAAAAATAATTGTTCTTTTAATTAAATTGTATTGAATTATTCACAATTTCAGTACTGACTAAAATTTATAAGAAAGTAGCTTTCAGGTTTATTAGTATGAAATGTTAAGAAAATGCTTTCATTTCTCATTTTTTTTCTAAAACGCATATTAAAAATTAATAAATAGAATAGAAGATTTTGGGTTAAATTTTAAAGAACAGAAGATTTAATACATACTTGAGAAGAATATAGATTCTCCTAAAACTGAAAAGTGAATTGCAATCCTCTTCTCTCATCTTAATCTGAGGAAGCTTCAAACTTGCCCATTTCTCATTTCATTAAATATCAAAACTTATCGACGTACACTTTATTTTAAACGCTACATCTTTAAATATTTTAATCCTGGGAGATGCGACTTTACGAAGATGGGCACCATCACAGCTGCATGTTTCACTAATAATGTGTGCAGGAGAATTTATTTAAAGCTGTGGCTAATATCGGGCATTCATTAAAGACATTAGTATGGATGAAAGGGGTTTCTTTAAGAAATAAATTCGCTAACCATTCTAAGCGTTTAATCCTTCCTGTATTCAAGCCTATATCTATCAGGGTTTAATATTTGACACGAAATCAATTTTAGAGAAAAGCATTGAATTATTTTATTCATTTGTTACATTTTAAAGGTAACAGTTTAAAATTTTGATTTAGTGTGTGCTTTCTAAATTAGAATTTTACTATTTATTAACTTTCTTTCAAGCAAGGCATTCTTTTAATCTACGGGATGTCCCAAATAAAACTATATCCAAATCGAATTTCAGTGTTCTCTTTTTGCTGCCATATGGATGTAATAGTATACTTCAGTGTAACATGTGTTAGTGCAGTCTTACCGTAGAAGTGCTAAAACTGATATATTGCTTCTTGTAGGGACATAAAAACCTACTCTCTTTTAGGATAGTCTGAAGGCACTTTTTGACTTGTTTGTGTTTAGTAGCCTTGGTTGGTGGTGTGATGGGTAATTTAGATAGAATATTCATCCTCAGGAATTCCAAAGGAAGTATGCTTTGCATATCATAAAATAAAAACTCCTTACTTTAGTGGTAACATTATCTTCATGTACTTTTTCTTCTTTAACTTATTGTCACATGAAAACAAGGTGCACAGTCATTCATAATATTTCTTCCAGTGCTACTACCTTAGAATTAACAAAACTTGGCTATAAAAATCCGGATTTCCCTAAGGTATCAACAAAAATGAAAATTATGTTTTTCCGTTCAGTTTGGCTGTTACGTTTATTTCGAATACTGTGAATAAAGAAACTTTTGTCTCCAAAACTCTCTCCCATTCTCTATTTTGTTACAGTTTTAACTTCAAGTGCGTAAGAAATCAATATATATCTACAAAATTCCGATTCACGTGCTTTATGTTTCATAACAATTTTGTGAAAAGTAAATTTTTCTAGAAAAGATTTTTAAATAAATTAATGCTCCTTAGAATTAGTAAATTCTCACATAATAAATTGTAAACTTTATATATACACTGCTGCCATTAACATTGCAGCACAAGGAAGGGAAGATCTGACAAACGTCAAAATCACATGAAAGGAACAAGAGGTTATAAGGTATTTCTCCCACTTCCCTAGCGTGCCTTCGTGGTGTAACGGTAGCACTCTGGTTATCCAGGTCCGTGGTTCGATTCCGGCGAGGCGGTTGCATATTTTCACCTTTCCTGCTTCCAATTAACCTAATGACTCTACAAGGTTCGGATACGCAAATGATTAGTATTTCAGCGCATTTAGACGAACCAGGAGGGAGAAACGACATTTGAAACATTGCACAAAAGAAACGTTGTGTAGTGGATTTCTCATTCGATAAGCGCTTTATAAGGTTGGCGTTTGCTCAGAATATCTTGTTATGCCTCGAAATAATAAGAAGAAATGCTTACTAGCAAATGTCGGAATTCGATAGAGGCATGATCGTTGCCTATCCAGAGTGTGGATTATCGTTTCGTGATATCACCCGTGGCACTATGTTGGATGTCGACCAGTGCGAATATGGAATCATAAGGTTGCTGAGGGTCATACTGAGTGGCATGCAGGATCTCAATGCCCTCCCCTGAAAAACGTCCGAGACGACAGACGTATTGTGAGGTCAGCTCTACAAAACCGTATAACAATATCACGGATCATTGGTCAGGAAATAAGGATGTTTGCAGCATGCCCAATATCTACTTGTACGGTGCGCCGATGTTTGCAGCAGCGTGGACTATCAGCACGGCGACCGTTACTTCGGCTCTTCTTGACAAAACAACATAGAGAAAGATGGAGACTCTAGTGTGCCGAACGACAAAGCTGCATACAGTAGTGTCACAACGTCGTCTTTTCAGACGAGTCCCGATTCTTCGTGCAGAATTCCGATGGCCGTATATGTGTCTGGAAGCTTCGAGGAGACCACATGTCGCCTGCTTGCATTAGATATCGGGAGAGAGGCCCTGCACCTCCGGTGAGAGTTTGAGCAGCCATTGGGGGCACGCCACGCTCAGCTCTAGTTCGGATCGACGGTAATTTGAAAGCAAATAGGTACATTTCTGACATCTTAGGTCGAGTGGTTGTGTCCTATCTTCGAGGGCTGCCAAACGCCATCTTTTCAACAAGATAACGCAAGACCACATGTTGCACGTCTTGTTCTGACCTTCCTCGATACGCAAGTGGCGGGAGACGTGGGCACTGCGCCTCTATCATACTGTTTAACAATTACAGCACCATGCTTATCAGCAATGCTATCATAGTGTCAGATCGATAGAGGCGATCCGGCCATCGAGTGTGATGATAGTTCCGTGATACACCGTCGACTGGTCGACATCCACACAGTTATGCGATAGAATCTATGGTTGCTAGAGTCACACTGACGGTATGCAGGATCTCACGCTTCCCGTACTCCGCCAGAGAACGTCATTTGAGTCAGCCCTGCAAAGCCGTAAAACAAATTCACGGGCCATTAAGTCAGGAAACAAGCATGTTTACAGCACGTCCAGTATCCGCTATCCGCTCGTATGGTGCGTCGACGTCTGCAGCAGCGTGAACTATCAGCACGGTGACCATTACTTAAGCTTCCCTTTACAATGCAGCATAGAGGGAAACGGCGACCCTGGTGCGCCGAACGACAAGGTTGGATACAGGAGTGGCGTAATGTCGTCTTTTTAGATCAGTTCGACTTCTGCTTACAGTATTCTGATGGCCGTATGCGAGCCTGGAGGCTCCGAGGAGAGCGCACGTCGTCTACGTACAATCATTATCGGCATATAGCCCTACAAGTGGTGAAATGGTTTGGCCAGCCATTTTGTACACAGCATGCAAATCCAAAGTTGCAGATCGGTACATTTCTGAAATCTTAACGTCCAGTGTTGTGCCCAACTTCAGACTCCAACGCCATCTTCACAAGGGAATGCAAGACACATGTTGCACTCGTTCCGACTTACTCGATGCACAGGGTTTGATTGCTGCCTGGCGTGCATGGTCTGCAATTTGCGCCTATTGAAACATCTATCAGGGTTCTAAGACTGGCCCCATCTCCTCTAATACGATTGATAAGTTGCCTAGACTTGAGCAGTATGAATAGTTGCGTTTCGTCATCGAAGCTTAATTCAACTCCATGCCTAACCGGGTAGATCTGTTTTCACTACCAGGGGGTAGCTATTTCTACTGATTTCTACCCCTGAAACCCCAAAACTGCTTACAAATTTAATTTTTTGTCTCATGCTATAGAGTTTACGTAGAATAATATCTTTTTTGTATTTGCTTTAATTCATGTGATGCTTTTTATGCCCAGAAAATTTTACGGTTTGTATTTATTTAGCTATTTTAGAGATTTTAATTAAAATTGTTTTATATTGCGTGCAATGCAGATGAGATTATTTAAAAGAAGCTACTTCGAAAAATTAAAATACAGGCACCCGCTTAAATTTTATAAATACTACTCGTAATTCTCTCTTTGCTCTCCAAAAAATCGAGAAAATACCAGAATATTCTCGTGCAGGATTAGAAAGCTTATAAAAGCTGGAGGAAAACATCTGAATTCAGTAGTTGTTTACTTAGTTCTTGTTGCTGATTGTAGCGAATTCGCAGTGAGATCGGGTTAGCTTTCTCTGTTTTGAATTGAGATCTATTAAAAGTTTTAGTAGTTTAAAATATGTCTATTGTGAGATATTGTAATATTGTTACGAATATCTCTCAGAAACGTTCAGCATCTTGTTTTATTTCTTGGAATAAGAATAAATTTTATTAACTTCTTATCGACTTGTGCTTTCAATCCATTACGAATCCGTACGCACGCAACACGTTTTGGTGTCGGAAGTGGGATTTGAATGCCAATAACTAGAGCGATCGAAGAACAATTGAGTCAATTGATAACTGCATTTGCTGCATTCCAAGAAAAGATGAAAGCTGTCCAAACATCCTTTAAAGCAGAGATTAAAGCTGGTCAAGTAACGAGATTACTTGTATAATAGAAAATAAATTTCAGG